AGGGGGGGGGTGCGGGTCGGGAGTGAGGGGCACCGGCAGAGCTGGGGGGGGCGAGGGCTGGGCTAGCGGGGGGTGCGGGTCGGGAGTGAGGGGCACCGGCAGAGCTGGGGGGGGCGAGGGCTGGGCTGGCAGGGGGCTGCGGGTCGGGAGTGAGGGGCACCGGCAGAGCTGGGGGGGGGCAGGGCTGGGCTAGCAGGGGCTGCGGGTCGGGAGTGAGGGGCACTGGCAGAGCTGTGGGAGACAGGGCTGGGCTAGCAGGGGCTGCGGGTTGGGAGTGAGGGGCACGGGCAGAGCTGGGGGGTCCCAGTGCTGGGCTGGCAGGGGCTGCGGGTCGGGAGTGAGCTGACTGCTCTCTGCTCTGTTCCCAGACACCCAGTGCTCCGTGCCGGAGCCCCCGGACGTGCGGAAGCCGGTGACGGCCCAGGAGCGCCAGCGGGAGCGGGAGGAGAAGCGGAAGCGGCGTCAGGAGCGGGCCAAGGAGCGGGAGAAGAAGCAGAAGGAGAAGGAGCGGAAGGAGTTGCGGCGCGGGGACGTGCTGGGCGGGCTAGTGCTGAGCGAAAACGACCGCAGCCTCCTGGAGCGATGGACCAAGATGATTGACCGGAACCACCAGAAACCGGCTCACAACGGGCCCACGGAGCACGCTCTGGCTGCGCCTGCCGGCCACGTCCCAGCCACGCCTGCCGGCCACGTTCCACCGGGAGCCACCGGCCACCTCCCAGCTGCACCTGCCGGCCACCTTCCAACCACGCCTGCCGGCCATGTTCCACCGGGAGCCACCGGCCATCTCCCAGCTGCACCTGCCGGCCACCTCCCAGCCACGCCTGCTAGTCACGTTCCACCAGGAGCCACCGGCCATCTTCCAGCTGCATCTGCCGGCCACCTTCCAACCACGCCTGCTGGCCATGTTCCACTGGGAGCTGCTGGCCAACTCCCATCCACCCCTGCTGGCCACCTTCGATCAGGAGCCACTGGCCACCTCCCAGCCACCCCTGCTGGCCACCTTCAACCAGGAGCCGCTGGCCACCTTCCAGCCACCCCTGCTGGCCACGTTCCATCAGGAGCCGCTGGCCACCTTCCAGCCACCCCTGCTGGCCATGTTCCGTCAGGAGCTGCTGGCCACCTTCCAGCCACCCCTGCTGGCCACGTTCTGGCAGGAGCCGCTGGCCACCTCCCAGCCACCCCTGCTGGCCACCTTCAACAAGGAGCCACTGGCCACCTTCCAGCCACCCCTGTTGGCCACGTTCCGGCTGGAGGCGCTGGGCAGCTCCCAGCCACCCCTGCCAGCCATGTTCCACCAGGTGCTGTTGGCCACCTCCCAGCCACGCCAGCCAGTCACGTCCCAGCCACATCAGATTTCTTGAGCTTCCCCGAGAAGGCGCCAGCCGGTGGCGGCCCCAAACTCACCGTACTCCCGATAGTGGCAGATCCAGCCCACGGCTCGGCCCCCAACATGGTCCAGTACTTCCCGGCCCCGCCCGGCCCCTTCCCTCCGGTGCTGGTGGCCCCCACAGCTTGTCACAAAGCTTTGCCTAAACCCGAGTGCCTCCTGAGTGTCAAATACGCCCCAGGGCAGATCTTCCAGGCCCCCTTTGGCCTGGCGGGGATCAGCGCATGGCCCGGTGTCCAGTGCCCAGAGAACTGGGCCGTGGCCGGGAGGCTGGCACCTGGGGAAGTCCCGACGACTCCTAGCGGGGCACCGCCTCAAGAGGGGCCATCAGCCCGTGCCGTGGGCAGCCTTGTGACACCAGGCCGGGAGGGCGTGGGGTTGGATCCGGCCGTCTTCATGCAGGAGATGGGGAAGAGGGCCCCGGACCCGGCAGTGGGAGGAGTCAAAGGGCCTGGCCAGCACCCAAACGCCACGGCCGCGTCGCCGGAAACCGCCCCCACCACGGAGTCGCCCGACATCACCATGGTCACGCACCAGCTTTCCAAGTCACAGGTAACGGGGCCTTTCCCCTCTAGGGGGCACCAGCAGTGATCTGGCGAGGTGGGCCCGTATGGGGCGTCCCCATCTCTGCTGGGGAGCAGCCGGTCGGGCAGGATCCTGCCCGGGTGGGGATGGGCCCTGGGGGGTGCCACGCTCAACGTGTCTTGCTGCCATCACAGGTGGAGGATCTCCTGCCGCCCGTCTTCTCGGTGACCCCCAAGGGCAGCGGCGCAGGCTACGGCGTGGGCTTTGACCTGGAGGAGTTCCTGAATCAGTCCTTCGACATGGTGGGGGAGAACAGGGACAGGTGAGAGCCCTGCACAGCAGGGACAGCTTCCCGCTGCTCTAACCACTAGACCCCACTCCCCTCCCAGAGCCAGGGAGAGAACCCAGGAGTCCTGGATCCCAGCCCCTCCCCTGCGCTGATCCATTAGGTCCACTCATGAGGGTTCTTCAGGCACTTCAAGCTTTCTATAGGTCAGGCTCCCTGGTCAGACTACATGTCCCATGATGCATCATGGTTTTCCCCTCTGGCTGAGCTGCTGCAGTGCATCCTGGGAGTAGTGGCTGGGTTATCTCATTCTGCCCTCTGAGATGGGCTCCCTCATCGGACTGCATCTCCCAGAGTGCACCATGATTCCCCTCTGCGAGGGGCGAGGCGGTGCACCATGGGAGTCCCTGGCCATTGTGCATCATGGGAGATGTTGTCAGGTGCTACCGGTGTGGTGCTTCTGCTTTCTCCTGTTGATATCACTCGGCTGCGTGCGTGTGTTCCCTCGGTGTGCTGCCCCAGCTCTGCAGATCGCTGACCCAGCAAACCCGACGAGAACCCCCAATAACCACAGAGTCTAGTAAGGTACAAAGGCACCTCGGCCAGGTTTATTGCGACCTCGGACACAATTGCAGTTCCCTGTAGATTACTTAGTCTACCGGGCATACTACTAATAGATGCCTCTTGGCAAGGACCCGGCTCAGTGGCGGGACTTTCCACTGCCCCCGTGGCCGGACAAAGACACCACCCCAGGGATACATTTTTGTATACGGGTACAAACAAGTTACACATCACTCCTGACGTATTAAGGTGCAACCCCTCTACGCAGCAAGGTACAACCCCTCTACGTAGTAAGGTGCCGCCTCGCACCTTGTACATGTTGGTTCGATCAAAACAACTCTATCCATCATTTTACCCTTTTGCCCCTGTCATTGGGATGGGTCGGCCTGTTCCCTGTTATCTGTGGAATGTTCCGGTATAGTGTATCTTGGTACCATGTTTATACTTTAACTATGCGAGGTGAATATATATTTATGCAACATCAGCCCTTTTCTTGCCAGCTTCTGTGAGCAGGGCCTGCCTCTTGCTCACAGCTTAA